TTTCCTCTCAGCGTTGTCGTAGCTCCCATAAAGTGATTCCTCACTGCAAAGCCAGGTGACGGCACACATTACAAAATACTTGGGGCGTTACAGTTTATGTTTATTTGGGGTAGGGGATTCAACATAGACGAAATAACATCATTAAAACTTAAGTCATATTAAGCTGCATGCGCATTAGAATTTATCAGCCACATCCCTGTTGGTTATTTTTTACACTTGTTCACTGTTCCTCTTTCTGAAGCCGTTTTTCAATCATTGAATTTTGTGTAACTTCCAACAGACTTTGAATACTCCTTTTTAAATATTATTTTACATAATATTACGTACTTTTGCTTTCATTTTAGCCAATTCACATGCAATTAGGGGAGATTTTACCCTTGTAGAGCTACTTGTCTCTTGTTGGTCTAAAATGTAGAAGCACTAATTGTATAGTAAACTATTTAATTGCTAACAATAGTTAACATCAGTCTTACCCTCTTCGCAGCAGTGTTTGTACTTTCATAATCTTGAGAGTTGAATTAATTTCCCACGAGGAGTTTTCAGTGTTGTCTACAGCCAGTAATCTACCATGTCAACAACAGGCATTCAAAAATATTTTCATAAAAGTTTCTTAAGAACATGATAGGCTGTGTTCTGAAATCCAGCTGTGTACACTTTCCAGCTTGGTTTCCCAACAATTGCTTTATTTGTCACTGTTGTCAAACCCATAACATCGCTCTGAGTGTCATGTGCTGTTGGTTCTGGTTGACCTTTTAAACTCCACGCTCATGTTTGCGTTATCAGTATCTGCACTGTGTCAAGCGAAAGGCACACTCAGCAAAGGTGAGGCGGTTCAGAGAAAAGTGTAAATTGTAATCTGTGACAGTTTTGCTTCCTGCTGCTTGCTCTTGTGTGTGTGTTGGCGTTAAGCATTAACCGATGGGAAGGTTGTCGTGCCTTTCACCCCACGGTCAGCTACCTCAATGAAATAAAAAGTAGCTGCCCTTATTTTAAGCAAGCCCCCCCTTGCCTTTATTTCTGTATCATAGCTCATCTCTCTCTGTCTTTGACGCACAGCTGACTTCTCACACACAAGTGCACATTTACTGCCTGAGTCATTCGTATCCACTTTCATTTCATATCCCTTTAAAATGTATGTTTATGTTTTATAGAGCCAAGTATCGTGTTCTATTTCTACACATGACATTCTAAGCCAATATATCTTTTATAACCTGGGCAGTGTATACCCATTTCTCAAACTGTTGTACAGTATGTACATGTACGTACGTGTATATGAAGCATATGGAATCAACCTTTTTGAATTTAAATATGACATTTTTTTTAAATAAAGGTCAAATTTTCCCACATCCGAGTGACATCTTCAAATCTAATTTTGTCTGACCTCCAGTCTAAACCCCAAACACTGTGATCTTTTTACTCACTTTTTAGTGAAGTGTTTCAGTCGTTCGGCTCGTTGGCAGCTGTGTTTAACTAAATTCTGTGTTTACTTCCCACCTTCTACCTCGTATGTGACCTCTCGGGCTCAGGGAGCAAAGCTATCTCTTGACATGTATTGATATTGCATTGACCTGAAGGACATGCAGCCAGCCGCACATTACCTCATCTGTAACACTAGCTGCATTGTGCTGAATTTTGCATGGTCACATTGACCTGGCTACTCCTTCATTATTCATGGAAATGCGAGGAAAGCAACAAAATGAATACACATAGACACTTGTATGCATTCCTAAAAGGCGCTGGCAGGTCATAAGAGATTTGAAGGGAGAAGAGACGGTGAGGTCAATGCTGTTTGCAATGAAACACAAGAGCCATGTGACTAACTTGTTTGTGTGTTCGTGCCTTTTACTTGCGTGTGTGAACTCAATCAGTCCTCAGGCAAAGAAGGGTGTGGGAGTAATCCAGCACAGGAGACATAACACCGGGACCATTAGCAGACCAGCTCACATAACCCAAGCGCTGGTGGCTGACAGACGTGCATAAACACATGGCACCGTATTCACCACGGCTTTCAGTATTCATCACCTCTCCTCACCCCCCACCACAGGCCTCTTCTTTCTGATGCTACACTTGGGCGGCTCACAAATATTTGCCATGGTCCTCTGCGAGAGGCCAGGATTAATGGTGGTGTGTGTCGCACACAGGGAGGGACAAAGCTTCCCCATCTGGAGCTCCAACCCGTGACTGGGGAACAGAGGCAGCACACAGACCCGAGCCACGGGGGG